GGGGGTGGGCAAAGGGCTTCAGGGCCCGCAGCCCATCTCGCAAGAGGTCTCGTTTATGTAACACTCCAGGTTAGGCTTTATTATTTTTATTCCCCCCACCCCCCCCTCTTCTGTGATAGATCTGTTTATATTCCTCCTTGTTTTTATTCTTGGCCCTTTACAGGGTGGCGAATCCCTTTTTTCTCTCTGTCTGGAGTGTGGGTGGCGTTGAAAAATATCATTGGGAATTTGGTTCTGGGATTGTTTTATTAATAGTTTTTGTTTACAAGGTGGCGGTGTGTGCCGAGAAGGGGTAGAAATGACAAGAGTGGCTGAAATGTTTTTCAGCTCTTGTTGACCGAACGTGCCTGACCTCCCCTCAGCAGGACTCAGCTCTGGTGGCTCTAACTTGGCGGTGTCAGGGGGTCGGGAAACGGGTCTGATTTAGTTTCCAGAGAGAGATAAACAAACTTACTTGGATTTTGTGGTGTTTTTTTTTTTTTTTTTTTGGGGGGGGGGGGGGGGGTGGGGAGGGAGGAGGGAGGAGCAGCACCAGCTCCTGTTTGTGGCGTGAGGGTGGCTTATCGAAGGAAACTTCTGTTTGACGTTCAGCCTGCGCTTTTCTCTCTCTACAAAGCTGCTCTTCGTATATTTTTTTTTTGCCTTGTTTTTAAGCAAATAGGAAATGACTACCGATCGTGCATGAATCGGAGCTATTTTTATCCGGGGGGTTTAAAGTTACACACATGTCATACTCTGCTGAACGCCAATTGCGATCGATGCTTAATCGCACCGGGAGGAGGGTCGGGAATTCCAGCTGTTTGTGTGTGTGTGTGGGGAAATAAAATCTTCCTTAGGGATAGTCTGGAAAGAGGTCTGGGCCGGAGAGGGGCTGAGGCCCAACCTGATCCGCTGCTGCTCTCCTTTCCCCTCCCCCCTCTCTCTGTCTCTTTCTTTTTCTTTTTTTTTCCCCTCTTTTTGTTCAGTTTGTAGCCGGCATCTCCAGCGATCGCAGCATTTTCGGAGACAAAGAGCAGGTTTTTTCTGAAGTGGCTTTGCTGGCTCTGTGTTCCTAGTGGTGGCCAGGGGGGCCGTGTGGTGGTAGGTAGAAAGCCCCAAATATCTGGCATTCCTCCCGACGCTGGGTAGTTTCCGCTCTGCTCTCTTTTCCCCCCCCAACAAAAGAAACCCAAAGGTTTTTTGTTTTGTGGTTTTTTTCCCCCCCCAAAAGCGAGAAAGCTCTTGTTATTGTTGTCGCAGCCTTCCCTGGGTTTGGAGGGGTGAGGGTTAGAGCGGATCGGTCTCCTGCGGACAACAAACTTAGGAAGTTGGATGTGTCAGATGACTCTCCTCACCACTCCTCCCTCCCCAGCCTCTTTTTTTTTTTTTTGTTTGTCTGC